ACACACACACACACACACTCACTCTCTTTCACATGCACAAACACACACACACACACACACACACACACAAATAGACCCGTGAGAATATGAAGATCTTGAAATATTTTTTTTCCACTGATAAACTGTAACAAAAACAACATTCAAGCTGAATGCGTCATGCAGCATTATAAAACACACGTGCAGACGAGTATCCTGATTGACTTTCAGTGCATCTCTGGAAATATCTTGCATATCTGTTTTTCTTTGACTGACAGCCGTAAAGTAAACGCAACAGCTGCTGCAGTAGTCTCGGACTGATACTGTGACTGTAAACGGACTCACTCCAGCACAGAATGAGTAGCTGCGTGTTCATGATAGCGATAAACCAGCAAACACTCATCCACTCGGATCACATGACCTCCGTGACGAAGACTCTGGTAGAAGAAGAGCAGATCCTCAGGGACGCCCTGATAGAGAATCAGTTCAGATCACGATCAAGAGAGTCACACGTATTTGAGCATCACAAGAGCCTCGTTAAATGGTCCAGCTTTCTCAAACCAGTCACGTGAACAGAACCAGGCGGGCATGATGACCGTCGGCCCGTGAGACCTGTACACCTGATTTAGGAAATAAATCAACACTTTTATTCCTCAAGGACGCATTAAATTGATGTTTCAAATGTTTCACATTTTTACTGTATTTTGGATTAAATAAATGCATCTTTGATGAGCAGAAGAGACTCAAAAAACATGAAAAAATCTCACTGACATCAAGTCTTCTGAATGCTAGTGTAAACGGGCAATGTAACATCAGATCATTTAACTATCCTCATTTAAAGGCAAAAGACTTATTAAAGAATCAGAGCCAATCAGATCATATTTGATGTGGAGTGCGATTTTGGACCAATGAGATTGCACAGCACACTGTATATAAAACAGAAACCAAGTGATCAACAAGATGTTGTCACAGCTATTTATGACAAAACAACACATTAGCGGTTTCTATATTGGAAACGACAGGATGTATTGCATCGGTTAAGGTAAACACACATGGCATAACATGATGAACCAAGATATAATGCCATCGAAGGTTATAAATGCATGAGTTTTTGTCCAACAAGCCTGACATTGTCTCCATTCCTCACTGATGAGTTCAGTAGCTCCGCCCACAGCCAATTCTCATTGGTCCAGAATCACTGTATATTAAGCCTCAGACATGTTCTGACTGTCTGTGATGGAGTTATGCAGACAGACGAGTCGTGTCACTCAGATTCTGGTAGATTAAAACCATTAACATGTTCTCAACCTGCGGGCCCCTAAAATAATTCATGAGCACTTTGTGAGTGACAAGCTCACAATGCTCTATAGGAAATTAATCTCATAACTTGTTCAGCGTTTTGACAACGCTGTTGCCTAACAGCTCAGATTAAGGGAGACACCATCCAATTATGTGTCAGTGTTAGCAGGCAAATAATAGCACTCATCATTTTGAGAACTATTGTTGAGGAAGAAATGCCGAACAATGCTAAGCACTACATTTTGGACGGAAACGGCACTGAAGCGAGCGGCTCTTGACAGGAGAGGCGTGAAACTGCTACATCTGTGACAGGAATTTTGCCGAAGTTCTTTTAACGGTAGCGTTCGCATTTTGCTTCGTCGAGAACAATTGTAGCCCACGGACCGTAGAGGTACAGTAATCAAACAGTACCGACTTTCTCTTTTTCTTCCCAGTCTCGGAACGGCGGGCGGAGCGACTACCTGACAATCAGTTGACGGAGAATGCATATAACGGCCTGACGTTATAATTAAACTATCCTGTAAGACATTCACAGACCTGCTGACAAGCACGTTCGCATTATGACAAAGTGGTCAGATGTTTGAGACTTATTCGTAAAGCTGCTATTAGGGAGGACCTGACAAGTCGAGTTAGGAACACACACACACACACACACACACTCACAAAAGAATGAGAGAAAGAATGAAAGAAGGAGTGGAGGGAGAAAAGACAGGAATATTTAAATGATGACAAAATGGATGAAATCAGTGACGTGTTTCAGAGCAAATAAACTAACTAGAGCACTGAGATCAGTGTGCACTTGATTTACTGTGTTAACGAAGCCCAAAATCACATTACTTTAATAATACAATAAAACCTCCTGTTCTTACTAGTCCAGTGTCAAAGGTCAAGAGTGTGTGTGAGCTGGTGCGAGTGTGTCGTAATGGAGATGTTGCCCGCTGGACACGTGTGTGTGTGTGTGTGTGTGTGTGTGTGAGAGAGAGATTGTGTGTTTCACTGGATAACCTCGCCTGGAATGTGCAAACACACCCAAGAGTTACACGACTCCCTTCTCAGTGAACGAGAACATGCGGAGGAGAAACTCACAGCAGAAAACCATCAGCAAACACATTAAAAATAGACTGTCCCTGAAGGAAATGTGAGTGTTTATCCATTTAAAACATGCTGCCATGATGGGCTCCAGGTTGCTAGGGTGTTACTATGCAGTTGCTAAGGTGTTCTGAGTGTGTTAGTATGTTGCTAGGCAGTTGCTATGGTTTTCAGAATGGTTGCTTGTTGCTAGGATTTTGCATGCAATCCCTAATGCGTTGCTAGGATGTTCTGAGTGGTTGCTATGCAGTCGCTAATGTCTTGGCAGTTGTTAGGGTGCTATGAGCAGTGCTACAGCGTTCTAAATGGTTGCTAGGCGGTTGTTAGATGGTTGCTAGGGCATTGCCCAGCAGTGCTACAGTGTTCTAAATGGTTGCTAGGCGGTTGTTAGGCCATTGCCGGGCAGTGCTACAGTGTTTGAAACGTTTGCTAGGTGGTTGTTAGATGGTTGCTAGGGCATTGCCCAGCAGTGCTACAGTGTTCTAAACGGTTGCTAGGTGGCTATTAGGGTGTTGTCGGGTGGCACTACAGTGTTCTAATCGTTTCCTAGATGGTTGTTAGACGGCTGCTAGGGCATTGCCCAGCAGTGCTACAGTGTTCTAAACGGTTGCTAGGTGGTTATTAGGGCATTGACGGGTGGCAGTAGTGTTCTAAACGTTTGCTAGGTGGTTGTTAGGCGGTTGCTAGGGAATTGCCGGGCAGTGCTACAGTGTTCTAAACAGTTGCTAGGCGGTTGTTAGGGCATTGCCGGGCAGTGCTACAGTGTTATTAACGGTTGCTAGGTGGTTGCTAGGGCATTGTCGGGCAATGCTACAGTGTTATAAACGGCTGCTAGGCGATTGCTAGAGCATTACCGGGCAGTACTATAGTGTTCTAAATGATTATTAGGCGGTTGTTA